TTCCAAAATCGTAATCATACATGCCTACAAACAAAAAAGGCATTATTTTCAAGAAATTTTAAACTTCCGAGACAACCAAAACAAAATTGTAATGAACTCCTCTTCCAACTAAAAACAAATTTCTCATACGTTCTCATTCAATCACGAGCCACCAATATGAGTTGTTTCCCCACGTTCTTACCATGGAAGAGTCCAATCAAAGCAGAAGGTCCATTCTCAAGTCCTTCGACTACATCCTCAACATAAGCTATCTTCCCTTCTCTTAGATACGGAAGCACAAAATCCAGAAACTCAGAGTATTTGTGGAAGTAATCAGAGACCACAAAACCTTGAATCCGAATCCTCTTGTAGAGTACGGTTGGTAGATTGTGTACACCTTCTTGGTTCTCTAGATTGTACTGTGAGATCATTCCACATACCGCGACACGACCATGTATCTTCATGTTTAGGAGCACTGCGTCTAGCATATTGCCTCCTACGTTCTCAAAATATATGTCTATTCCTTCCGGAAAACACCTTGTGAGAACAAAAATTGGCTCATAAATTTGAGTCAAATCTCTGTTTTACAAAGCAATTTATTAGTTAATTACTTACCTTTTGAGAGCTGCATCGAGGTCAGGCTCTTCTTTGTAGTTAAAAGCTTCATCAAACCCGAACTTTTTCTTGAGAAGATCGACCTATAACCAAATAATTGAAGTTGATTGTGTAATAAGGTATTAATGGTTTAGTAACGTAGAGTTCAAGTAAAGTTTGGTTTACCTTTTCATTGCTTCCGGCACTTCCAACCACGTAACAGCCCATGATCTTTGCTAATTGTCCCACAAGCTGACCAACTGCACCAGATGCAGCTGACACGAACACAGTCTCTCCTTTCTTAGCAGAACAGATCTCATAAAACCCAGCATAAGCAGTCATACCAGGCATACCTGTCAGAACAGAGGAATGTTGAAACTTGTAGAGTTTTGAACAATGTTGACGCAAACTATTCTACATGATTTTTGAGTTTCGGTAAGCTTGAGTCAATGAAACATACATTATATTTATAATCCAAGACCAGACCATCAAAACCAGAGCAAATCACACTATACTTGAACTCTTAAGTTATTAATCCATGACCTAATCACACAATACTTGAACTCTAAGTTACATTGGTTTATGCATTGTCTTGGATTATAGGTGGATCTTCTCAAGAACAAGTTTGGATTTGATGAAGCTTTCAACTATAAAGAAGAGCCTGACCTCAATGCAGCTCTTAAAAGGTAAGTAATTACTAACTTATATTGCTTCGTAAAACAGAGATTTGACTCAAATTTATGAGCCATTTTTTGTTCTCACAAGGTGTTTCCCGGAAGGAATCGACATATACTTTGAGAACGTAGGAAGCGATATACTAGACGCAGTGCTACTAAACATGAAGATACATGGCCGTATCGCGGTATGTGGAATGATCTCACAGTACAATCTAGAGAATCAAGAAGATGTACACAATTTACCAACCGTCCTCTACAAGAGAATTCGGATTCAAGGCTTTGTGGTCTCTGATTACTTCCACAAATACTCTGAGTTTCTTGATTTTGTGCTTCCGTATATAAGAGAAGGGAAAATACATTGTGTTGAGGATATAGTCGAAGGACTTGAGAATGGACCTTCTGCTTTGATCGGTCTCTTCCATGGTGAGAACGTCGGGAAACAGCTCATACTGGTGGCTCGTGATTGAATGAGACGTATGAGATTTAGTTGGAAGAGGAGTTCATTACAATTTTGTTTTGGTTGTGTCGGAAGTTTAAAATTTCTAGAAAATAATAATGCCCTTTTTGTTTGTAGGCATATATGATTGCGATTTTGGA